AACAAAATATGGATTATATGAGAGGGAATGTCCCCATTGTCTCATTGTCATTGAGTCGAGTCATCGCCACCAAAATATCGGAGATCATATAAAATGAGATAGAGGGAATCTCCCCCAGCATTAAACTGAGGCAGTAGGTAGTAGAACTTAACCTGTCCCTCATGGATTCTTAACCTGGTAGTTGAGTCATCTCTACTAAAAATATCACAGATATATATGATAGAGGGAATCTCCCTCATGGATTCCCACAGTGGATTCCCACCATGGATTCACATCATTCATGGATTCCCAACATGGATTCCCATTGTCTCATTGTCATTGAGTCGAGTCATCGCTACCAAAATATCGGAGATATACATGATAGAGGGATTCTCCCCAGCATAAAACTGAGGTAGAAGGTAGACTTAACCTGTCCCTCATCATGGATTCCCACCATGGATTCCCAACATGGATTCCCACCGTGGATTCCCAAAATATCATGGAGGGAATTCCCAACATGGATTCCCAACGTGAATGGATCCCAACATGGATTCCCAACATGGATTCCCATTGTCTCATTGTCATTGAGTCGAGTCATCGCTACCAAAATATCAGAGATATATATGAGAGGGAATCTCCCCAGCATAAACAGAGGCAGTAGGTAGACTTAACCTGTCCCTCATGGATTCCCACCGTGGATTCCCAAATGGATTCCCAACATGGATTCCCATTGTCTCATTGTCATTGAGTTGAGTCATCTCTACCAAAATATTGGAGATATATATGAGAGGGAATCTCCCCAGCAGAGGCAGTAGGTAGATTTATCTGTCCCTCTGGGGGGCCTGATACATCCATAGTGGGTGTGGAATGCTGGGAGAGATCAGCGAACATCCATTTTTCAATCTCCCCATGGCAGTATGAACACCGAAGCGATCTGCACTGAGCACTTCTGGAATCAGAGCTGTCCAACACAGATGCTGGGGTTCAGGGAACAATGCCGGTGTTGATGGATCAATGAGACCGGTCAGTGTTTGGGGAACAAGCTGATTAAACATGGCCTCTTCTCAGAGAGTGCAGGGGGGTATTAGGAGGTACAATAGATCCTGGTTGTCTCTTTAAGAGGACCCATCACCCGCAATATGATTTCACATAGGGGTTTGTTAGCTGGCTGGGAAAATAGATGAGTCTGACAGCAGCATTAATGGTAGACTGAAGGGGGAATATCCTGTGTAGACTAATGAGGAGGGAGTTTCAGTAGTTAAAGCAGCAGATGACAAGTGATTGAATTAGTAGCTTTGTGTTGTCAGTTAAGAAGGGGTATATTCTGGAAATGTTACGGGGGAAAAGGAGGCAAACCTTGGATGTGAGGCTGCAACGAGAAGGCAAAGTCCAGGATTAGATTTAGCATCCTGGCATGAGGGGGGGACTGATATTTGTGCTTTTGATTTTGATGTGATAGCTTTTTGAGGAGGAAATGGGGAGGAAATATTGAAGGAAGTGGTGTGACATCCATATTGACATGTGACTTAGTAAAGTAGTGATGTACGAGGAGATGGAAGGGGTAAGGTGAGGAGCAGAGAGGCAGTTTGGGGTGTTGGTAGATTAGAGATGGTATTGGAAGTCATAAGAGCCTGATTCAGATGACCAGGGAGTAGGTGGAGAAGGTGAACATAAGGAACCAGGGGATAGACATTGAGGGGACCCCAACAGAAAGGAGGGAGACAAGGGGAGAAGGAAGACAGGGAGGAGAAGTAGGAAATAGAGAAGGTAAAAGAGGAGAAAAGAGAAGGAGGAGAAGGGGAAGAAGGAGAAGAAAAAGGAGCAGGGGAAGGAGGAGAAGGAGAAGAAAGAGAAGAAGATGGAGAAGAAGAAGAAGATGGAGAAGGAAGTAAAGGAAAAGGAGGAGGAGGAGATGGAGGAGAAGGAAGAGAAGGAAATGGAGATGGAGAAGATGGAGGAGAAGGAAGAGAAGGAGATGGAGAAGGAGAAGAGGGGGAAGGAGAAGAAGAAGGAGTCCCCCCTCCCCCTGACTGTATACAATGTGTATATATATATACAGTGGGGCAAAAAAGTACTTAGTCCCCACCAATTGTGCAAGTTCTCCCACTTACACAGATGAGAGAGGCCTGTAATTGGCATCATAGGGAGACCTCAACTATGAGAGACAAAATGAGAAAAAAAAATCCAGACAATCTCATTGGCTGATCTGGAAAGAATTTATTTGCAAATTATGGTGGAAAATAAGTATTTGGTGACCTACAAACCATCAAGATTTCTGGCTCTCACAGACCTGGACCTTCTTCTTTAAGAGGCTCCTCTGTCCTGCACTCATTACCTGTATCAATGGCACCTGTTTGAACTTGTTATCAGTATAAAAGACACCCGTCCACAACCTCAAACAGTCACACTCCAAACTCCACTATGGTGAAGACCAAAGAGCTGTCGAAGGACACCAGAAACAAAATTGTAGACCTGCACCAGGCTGGGAAGACTGAATCTGCAATAGGCAAGCAGCTTGGTGTGAACAAATCAACTGTGGGAGCAATAATTAGAAAATGGAAGACATACAAGACCACTGATAATCTCCCTCAATCTGGGGCTCCACGCAAGATCTCACCCCGTGGGGGTCAAAATGATCACAAGAACGGTGAGCAAAAATCCCAGGACCACACGGGGGGACCTAGTGAATGACCTGCAGAGAGCTGGGACCAACGTAACAAAGGCTACCATCAGTAACACACTACGCCGCCAGGGACTCAGATCCTGCAGTGCCAGACGTGGCCCCCTGCTTAAGCCAGTACATGTCCGGGGCCCGTCTGAAGTTTGCTAGAGAGCATTTGGATGATCCAGAAGAGGATTGGGAGAAAGGTCATATGGTCAGATGAAACCAAAATAGAACTGTTTGGTAGAAACACAACTCGTCGTGTTTGGAGGAGAGAGAATGCTGAGTTGCATCCAAAGAACACCATACCTACTGTGAAGCATGGGGGTGGCAACATCATGCTTTGGGGCTGTTTCTCCGCAAAGGGACCAGGACGACTGATCCATGTACAGGACAGAATGAATGGGGCCATGTATCGTGAGATTTTGAGTGCAAACCTTCTTCCATCAGCAAGGGCATTGAAGATGAAACGTGGCTGGGTCTTCCAACATGACAATGATCCCAAACATACCGCCCGGGCAACGAAGGAGTGGCTTCATAAGAAGCATTTCAAGGTCCTGGAGTGGCCTAGCCAGTCTCCAGATCTCAACCCAATAGAAAAACTTTGGAGGGAGTTGAAAGTCCTTGTGGCCCAGCGACAGCCCCAAAACATCACTGCTCTAGAGGAGATCTGCATGGAGGAGGAGATCTGCATGGAGGATGGGCCAACATACCAGCAACAGTGTGTGCCAACCTTGTGAAGACTTCCAGGAAACGTCTGACCTCTGTCATTGCCAACAAAGGATATATAACAAAGTATTGACATGAACTTTTCATATTCACCAAATACTTATTTTCCACCATAATTTGCAAATCAATTCTTTCCAGATCAGCCAATGAGATTGTCTGGATTTGTTCTCTCATTTTGTCTCTCATAGTTGAGGTCTCCCTATGATGCCAATTACAGGCCTCTCTCATCTCTGTAAGTGGGAGAACTTGCACCATTGGTGGGGACTAAATACTTTTTTGCCCCACTGTATATATATACACAGTATTTCCCAGAAGTGAGCCCCCTTCCCCCCAGACTGTATACAATGTGTGTGTGTATATATATATATATATACAGTATCTCCCAGAAGTGAGCCTCCCTCCCCCGGACTGTATACAATGTGTATATATATATATATATATATATATATACACAAAGTATCTCCCAGAAGTGAGTCCCCCCCTCACATTTGTGTCAATATTTGACACTTTGCTACAATGTGACGTAGTCAGTGTACAGCATGTATAACATGGAACTTTGCTGTCCCCTCAAAAATAACTCAAATGGTGGAGAAAGATCTGGGGGGGGGGGGGGGGTCAATGATGGAGAAGGATCTGGGGGGGTCAATGATGGAGAAGGATTTGGGTGGAGTCAATGGTGGAGAAGGATCTGGGTGGGGTCAATGGTGCAGAAAGATCTGGGGGGGTCAGTGGTGGAGAAGGATCTGGGGGGGGGTCAATGGTGGAGAAGGATCTGGGTGTGGTCAATGGTGGAGAAGGATCTGGGGGGTCAATGGCAGAGAAGGATCTGGGGGGGTCAGTGGTGGAGAAGGATCTGGGGGCGATCAATGGTGGAGACGGATCTGGGGGGGTCAGTGGTGGAGAAGGATCTGGGGGGGATCAATGGTGGAGAAGGATCTGGGTGGGGTCAATGGTGCAGAAGGATCTGGGGGGGTCAGTGGTGGAGAAGGATCTGGGGGGGGGGTCAATGGTGGAGAAGGATCTGGGTGTGGTCAATGGTGGAGAAGGATCTGGGGGGTCAATGGCAGAGAAGGATCTGGGGGGGTCAGTGGTGGAGAAGGATCTGGGGGGGATCAATGGTGGAGACGGATCTGGGGGGGTCAGTGGTGGAGAAGGATCTGGGGGGGATCAATGGTGGAGAAGGATCTGGGGGGGTCAGTGGTGGAGAAGGATCTGGGGGGGATCAATGGTGGAGAAGGATCTGGGAGGGTCAATGGTGGAGAAGGATCTGGGGGTTCTGGTAGATCACAAGCTTAATAATGGCAGAAATGCCAAGCTGCGGGTTCTAAATCGAACAAAATCCTCTCTTGTATTAGGAGAGGTATAGACTCCAGAGAGAGAGATATCATTAAAAGCATATTTCCATTTTGGAAAAAACAGATGAAACCTTTTTTCATGCTTTTTGTGTTTTACAGATTAGTTTTTATCTTGGTGGAGAAAAGCCCTAAAGTAGAATATTGGAAGACCACATGTTGGACATCTTACAGTCATGACGTCTGGCAGTAATAATCTGAGCTCCTCTTATTTCATTCTGATTGGAATTCCTGGGCTGGAAGATAACCAGGTCTGGATTTCATTGCCGGTCTTCTTCATGTACCTGATAACCTTGTTGGCCAATATTAGTGTCCTGCTAACCATTAAAAGAGAGGAGAGCCTCCACCAGCCCATGTACCTCTTCCTTTCCATGTTGTTATTAACTGACCTTGTCCAGTCCAATGCTACCCTTCCCAAGATGCTCCTGATCTTCTGGTTCAACCTCAACGAGATCTCCTGTGAGGGTTGCCTGGTTCAGATGTTCTTCATCCATTCCTTCTCTATCATGGGCTCCTCCATCCTCTTGGGTATGGCCTTTGATCGCTATGTTGCCATATGCCAGCCCCTGAGATATTCCACCATCTTGACCAACCCCCTGATCACTAAAATTGGAGTAATAGTGGTCGTAAGAGGAACTCTTCTGATATTTCCACTTCCTTTCCTGATCTGGAGATTGCCGTTTTGCAAAAGCCATGTGATCGAGCATGCCTATTGCGAACACATGGCAGTGGCTAAACTGGCCTGTGCAGACGTCAGAGTTAATGTTGTGTATGGGTTAGCAGTCGCTCTGTTTGTAGATGTAGTAGATATCATGGGCATTACAGTGTCATACATCAAGATTGTAATTGCCGTCTTCAAACCTCCCATCCCGAGAGGCCAGACGTAAGGTCGGGAGTACGTGCATCAGCCATATTTGCGTCATTCTGCTGGCTTACATCCCGGCACTTTTCTCCTTTCTCACTCAAAGGTTTGGGGGGCAAATAGCTTCTTCCACACAAATTATCATATCTAGCCTATACCTAATTGTTCCTCCAATGCTGAACCCAATAATATATGGAATAAAAACCAAAGAGATCCAGAGGAACATTTTGAAATTATTTTGTCCGCAAAAGTCCAGATTTCGGTAATTTTGGACATATTTTGCTGGACTTACTCAACAAATGCTGCAAAGAACAGGACTATGAGAACCAACCATCTTTCTGATTATTTGCCAAAGGTACAAGTGGAGTCAAATTTGGGGCGGAGGTGTGCAATTGACTGTAATGTTGCTATAGACTCAAAATAGGGGGTTATAAGGCCCCTGAATATCAAACTGAAAAAAGTGTCACTTCCTGATGACATGGCCCTAAAGGTTTACAATTCGACACGGAGAACTCTAATCCATGAGAAAGGAAATATGATATTTGGATTTGTTCTACGGGGTGTTCAAGATCTGTAATTTGTAGGCATTAGATGGTTAGAGGAGAGAGGAGGAGCCGGAACATGGCACCGTAAGCAGCACCCGAGGACCGTGCTGTGTGGACCGGAGGGCGCTCGAGTGTGTGGACCAGTCCCTCGGTGAGGCATGGGGAGTGGAGCTGTAGATGGTCCTCTGTGCTCCGTTGGCTGGTGGGAGGAAGGAGGTCCCCGATTCCTCTATATAGATCTATATATTACTAGAGGGGTCACCGGCAGGAGGAAGGACGTCCTGATTCCTCTATATAGATCTATCACTAGAGGGGTCACCGGCAGGAGGAAGGAGGTCCTGATTCCTCTATATAGATCTATCACTAGAGGGGTCACCGGCAGGAGGAAGGAGGTCCTGATTCCTCTATATAGATCTATCACTAGAGGGGTCACCGGCAGGAGGAAGGAGGTCCTGATTCCTCTATATAGATCTATATATCACTAGAGGGGTCACCGGCAGGAGGAAGGAGGTCCTGATTTCTCTATATAGATCTTTATATCACTAGAGGGGTCACCGGCAGGAATAAAGATGTTCTGATTCCCTCTATATGGGGGTCAACAACCAGTAGATTTCGACCAGGCAACTGATAGATCTTGGTCAGGGCATGCTGGCCCACAATCCTGGGTCCTCGAGGACTCAAAGGGACGCAACACTAAGCCGCACGAAGAGGAGGGTGAGTTGTAGTAAGACCCTGTAAAATAGATCTATGAACTGCTACTGACCTGCATCAAAGTAACATACCAAGTGTTTGCTGTCCGAAGAAGAAAAAAACAATTAAATAGAGGGCTTTTGGGGTCTTGTGACCCAGAGGGACCATCCATTCATTTATAATTTCACTACATTTAAAGTATAAGAAGTCATGTATCCCTAAGGAGTAAAGAGACTTTTCAGCGATGTGTTTTGGGGGAAAGGAAAAGAGGACTATATAGGTGGCAGTGTATTGTGACCCTAAAAGGTTAAGAGGTAATTAACAGGTAAAGTCCTAAGGGAAAAAAAGAAAAGAACATGAGAAGCAGACCCGACTAAAAGGGGGTTCGTCACGTACCTGATGGGAGACTGAAATGACGAGGCCGGCCTCACTTGTGTCACCAGCCCTGACCCCACTGGAGGTGGAACAGAGGGAGTCTAGGACCCAGGGGAGGAAGAGCGCCAGTAGTTGTTGTTTGCAGCTCTTGCAGATGATGACTCTGGAAGACCGATGATCCTCTGATTCAGGCACAGTAGTAGCAGGCAGAGCAGGTCTTGTAGATTGCCAGGCGTGCACCAGAGCAAGGCAGGTAGTGAGGGTAAGAGACAGGAGCAATGTCATGGAATAGCCAGGGTCATCAACAGTCGGGCAGCACGGTACAGAATCAGAAGGAAAAGCCAAGGTCAGGAGCAGAGCCGAAGTCAGGAACCGGTATCAGGAGAGCAATCAGAGTCAGGTGAGGAACAAGCCGGGTCAGCAACAAAGGAATCACACAGGAACAAGCAGGACACGGGGGAGCTGAAGACCAGTCAGCACTGAACATGAGCAGAGACACTCCTTAAATAGGCCATCTGGCGCCAATCTTCGCCGTGCGTGTGCACGATAGTGCAGTTCTGCACGCACGCATGCGCACAACCAACCACTCTTCTCCGGACGTTCCTATTCACATGCGCACTTCTATTCGCAATACGTCTAGCCGGAAATCCCTTACAGGGTAGTTCAAGGGGGGGACACAGTGGACAGAGCAGGTTGGCAGTCCGGGAGGCTCAGTACATGGCTGCCTTCAAGCTAGGAAATGTCATCTGCCCAGTTGAAGGAGAGGTGGCCATGTTTTGAGTTTCACCCTAAATTAGGAATCGGTAGTAGAGATATACCTCAACAGATTCCAAGGCCTAATGCAGGCCAGGAGGGGAGGAGGTTGGGAGAAATGGATTATATATTTATGAAATATTTTTTATAATGGATGTTTTCTAGTTTTTTTTGTATAATAATCAAATAAAAATTTAAATTATAAAAAAAAAAGATCTGTAATTTGTACTGAATGGAATTTTTTACTTACTTTATTCTCTTGTGTAATCAATCAGTCTTTAATAACCTGTTATGGTAACAGGAAAGCCTGAGGGTAGGGAGACAAGAGATGTCTGTGAAGGTTCCCATCTATCCAGGTCATGGTACATCTAGCAGGAGTTCTTCACCTTCAACTGGACTTGCTCTGTAATGTTGAAGACATTCCCTAGCTTATCCAATCCGCCTCGCCAGTTCCAATGAGTGCCTGGAAGACACCCCAACACTTACAGTATATCCACACAGGTGGTACAGACACCTTTATCCAATCACCATGAGAAGTGTTGAGGAAGATGTTGATTGTCCAAGAACAAGATGGGAGGTGTGAAAGTTGTGGAACCACCACACCACCATCCCATCCATGGTGGCAGGACGTCTGTGGAGGTGATAATCCTTTGATTCACATGGATAATTGTGTACATTTTTTGTCAAATCACCAGGGTAGAGATGTTAAAACAGCATAGTTGATAGATGTTGAGAAAAGCCCCCAACTCTTGTGTGAAAGGGTGCACCACTGAATATGATGGAAAGCCTTTGTGTCGAAACTTTGAAGTGCTTCTGGTGAAGCTTCAAATCCTTAGGTGAGGTTACTTGGTTAGCTCCAAGGGTGCTTAGGAATAGGCTCCCCAACTCTGCCAAGGCTGGGACCTCTATGAACGTCCTCTGAGGCTCCAAACCCCAGACTATTTATTGCAGAAACAATGGAAGAAAGGGCTTATCAGCCTAGTGCAATACCTGAGAACAGGATTTTTATTAAAACACCAAAATATATAATCACAAACAATTATGTGTCAAAAGCATCAGAGAGCTGATATACAGAAAGGATACAATGTTGCAGAGAGTGATCTGATATACAGAAAGGATACAATGTTGCAGAGAGTGATATACAGATATACAGAAAGATACAATGTTGCAGAGGAGTGATCCTGATATACAGAACAGATACAAGTGTCACCGAGGAGGAATACAGAACAGATTCCTCTATATAGATCCTATCACTAGAGGGGTCACCGGCAGGAGGAAGGAGGTCCCGATTCCTCTATATAGATCCTATCACTAGAGGGGTCACCGGCAGGAGGAAGGAGGTCCTGATTCCTCTATATAGATCTATCACTAGAGGGGTCACCGGCAGGAGGAAGGAGGTCCTGATTCCTCTATATAGATCCTATCACTAGAGGGGTCACCGGCAGGAGGAAGGAGGTCCTGATTCCTCTATATAGATCCTATCACTAGAGGGGTCACAGGCAGGAGGAAGGAGGTCCTGATTCCTCTATATAGATCTTTATATCACTAGAGGGGTCACCGGCAGGAGGAAGGAGGTCCTGATTCCTCTATATAGATCTATATATCACTAGAGGGGTCACCGGCAGGAGGAAGGAGGTCCTGATTCCTCTATATAGATCTATCACTAGAGGGGTCACCGGCAGGAGGAAGGAGGTCCCGATTCCTCTATATAGATCTATATATCACTAGAGGGGTCACCGGCAGGAGGAAGGAGGTCCTGATTCCTCTATATAGATCCTATCATTAGAGGGGTCACCGGCAGGAGGAAGGAGGTCCTGATTCCTCTATATAGATCTATATATCACTAGAGGGGTCACCGGCAGGAGGAAGGAGGTCCTGATTCCTCTATATAGATCCTTATATCACTAGAGGGGTCACCGGCAGGAGGAAGGAGGTCCTGATTCCTCTATATAGATCTATCACTAGAGGGGTCACCGGCAGGAGGAAGGAGGTCCTGATTCCTCTATATAGATCTATCACTAGAGGGGTCACCAGCAGGAGGAAGGAGGTCCCGATTCCTCTATATAGATCCTATCACTAGAGGGGTCACCGGCAGGAGGAAGGAGGTCCCGATTCCTCTATATAGATCTATCACTAGAGGGGTCACCGGCAGGAGGAAGGAGGTCCTGATTCCTCTATATAGATCCTATCACTAGAGGGGTCACCGGCAGGAGGAAGGAGGTCCCGATTCCTCTATATAGATCTATATATCACTAGAGGGGTCACCGGCAGGAGGAAGGAGGTCCTGATTCCTCTATATAGATCTATATCACTAGAGGGGTCACCGGCAGGAGGAAGGAGGTCCTGATTCCTCTATATAGATCCTATCACTAGAGGGGTCACCGGCAGGAGGAAGGAGGTCCTGATTCCTCTATATAGATCTATCACTAGAGGGGTCACCGGCAGGAGGAAGGAGGTCCCGATTCCTCTATATAGATCTATCACTAGAGGGGTCACCGGCAGGAGGAAGGAGGTCCTGATTCCTCTATATAGATCCTATCACTAGAGGGGTCACCGGCAGGAGGAAGGAGGTCCTGATTCCTCTATATAGATCTATCACTAGAGGGGTCACCGGCAGGAGGAAGGAGGTCCCGATTCCTCTATATAGATCCTATCACTAGAG